TGCTCTGACCAGATCCCTTATCTTTCTAAAATCACATCATTTTCTCACTCCTTGCTCAATAGATACTAGGTGTTCAGGAAAAAGACTATTCCTCTACACTTCAAAATCTAGCTCTTGGTAGGATACTAATGAACATGTATCAAGTGAAATATTTTATGAAATCAAAGGCCTAGTTCCTAACCTCAAGTAGTTCATTTTTATTTTTTAAAGATTTTATTTATTTGAGAGAGAGAGAGAGCACAAGGGGAGGTAGGGTCAGAGGGAGAAGCAGATTCCCTGCCGAGCAGGGAGCCCGATGTGGGACTCGATCCCAGGACTCCGGGATCATGACCCCAGCCGAAGGCAGTCGCCCAACCAACTGAGCCACCCAGGCGCCCTAACCTCAAGTAATTTATAAGTGCTCAGACTTCATGATTCATTACCGTAGACTAGCACCCAGGGGCCTACCTAAATCACTAGTCCCAAACTAAACTGTTTTGAGATATTTCAACTTTTATTTAACAGACCCAAGGATCAGGTCTTGTTAGTTGTGATTCCACCAACATGGCTCTCCGTCCTGGCATTGTTCACTGGTGGCTGTAAGCCTGCAACCTACATACCTCCCAGGCTGGGTTGGCATACCCGCTTATTGCTGTGGCTTTCCAGAAAAGGGAAAGGGTTTGCCTGGGGGAGAGAGGTCAGGGTCCATAAGAGTCCTGAAGCAGCACATAGTCTTACCGCATCAAACTCGGCTTGATCATCCTCCGGCAGATCGCTGGTTTCATAAACATCTGGCTCGTTCCTGGCCTGCAGACAGAAGCAGTGACCACCCCACCTCATTACCCAGCATCCACCAATACTCCTGGACCCACTCCATTTGAATAAGCTAGGAGAGAAGGCAGGCTGTGAGGCCAGCATTCTGTCCCTTCTCTTCCACCTGCCCACTGAACTGCATGTCAGTTCCCACGTCTTAGAGGGGTGGGGATGACGGGGGGCACAACTGGAACCTCACGGTAAGTGGTGAAAGTAAGTGATGACAAAGATGTGACCCTGAATATGAATGGGGGCGGGCTCTTAGCAATCATTATGTCCAAAGTAGGAGAGGGCTATCTTCGAATTAGGCCCTGTACAACACTACCCTGGCACAAAGGTTGAGAGTGACTCAGGACCTTAGTACCCAAGGTCCTGTGACACGACCCCCACCCATGAGAATGCAGGCAGGGCAGCACAAAAGGAGGGTAGAGGCTGGTATGTGCCGGGGGGGGGGGGTCCCGGAGGGCAGAATTCTCTATCTGGCACTAGAAGGGTTCTGCCACGGTAACCTTTTCTTTGGCAGGGTGAAGGCCATCACCAAGTGGCCTGGTATGTGTTTGGGGTGGGGATGGTGGGGGGAGGGGCCTTATGGGGAGATTTGGGGGGACACGGGTGATGCTGACATGGATGATAGAAACACTCGGGCACAAGTGGTAAGCACCCAGAGACGATTTTTGGGCGGAGAAACCGGCCACTGCCGGAAAAGGGGCCTGCTAAGCCATTCCGCGGCCGGGCCAAGTCGGGTCGGAAGAGTTCGGAGGGTGCTGTGGCCCGCCGGGGAGCCAGAGGCTGGAGCCCTGGGGCGGAGGAAGGGCTGCAGGCGGGAGGGGTCACGGGTTAGTGTCTGTTGGGGGTCCTTAGTAGGTCGGGGGTGCGGTCCTGGGGAGCCGGGGTTGGCCCTGTACTCACAATGCCGGGAAGGTCGGCGTATTTAGGGTCCGCCATGGCGGCGGCGAGGCGGGGTTGGGGGACCGGGGCCTCGGTGGAGCCGGGGCCGGTGTTCGGGTAGGGGAGAGGCTGGGTCCGGGTCCCGGGCTAAGGCGGCGGCAAAGGGAGCGGCGGAGGAGGCGGAGGAGCAGGAAGTCTCGCGACAGGAATCGTACAGGAGAGAGAAGGGTAAGGCAAAAATCGCGAGAACAGCCCGCTACCACACCCCTGGCGAGGCCGGGATTGGCGAGAATACGGCCAGGGAATGAGGTAATGGCGGGGGGACGCCACCTGGGATTGTGGGATGTGTAGTCTTGGACCACTCGGGCTTGGACGGAGAACGACAATAACGCGCCTTGGGAGTTATTTCACACAACTTATTTTATTTCATTTTTACACCAAGTCTATGAAAAAATATTTTATAATTCCTGTTTTTCAGATGAATACGTTTGGGCTTCCAGAAATTAAATGACTAGATAAAAATAACATCCTGTCATGCTGTGGCACAGAAAGGACTTCAAAAACAATAATAGTAAAATGTAGTAAGGGCTTAGTCATATTAGGAATGAAAACATTAAGTAATCTTCTCGAGTTAGAGCTATCAGATAAAGTACAGGACACCTAGTAAAATTTGAATTTCAGGTAAACAACTAATAGTTTTTGTTTTTGTTTTTGTTTTTGTTTTTTTTAGTGTAAGTATGCCCCATATCATATATGGGACATACTAAGACACACACACACACACACACACACACACACACACACACATTATTAGTTTTTTATCTGAAATTCAAATTTAACGGGACATCCTGTTTTTGTTTTTCAAATCTGGAATCTTATTTCAAGCTCATAAATAGGTAAGTGGTGGCTGTATGTCTGTCGGAACAACCTCTGTGCTCTTAACCACTTCACTAATAGTTTTCAGACTTCTGAATTTCACAGTTCAATAAAATTAAAACAACAGCAACCCTGGGGCGCCTGCCTTCAGCTCAGGTCTTGATCCCAGGACCCTGGGATCTAGCCGCATGTGGGTCTCCCTGCTCCCTGCCTGCTTCTCCCTCTGCCCCTCCCCTTGCTCATGCTCTCTTTCTCTCTCAAATAAATAAAATCTTTTAAAAAAATAGAACAACAGCAACCCTTTCTGAGGATGGACATAGTACTGCTACCTTTTAATTTTGTCAACTAAGTGCGTTAGAAAAAGAAAGCCTACTGTTTACTATAGCCATCATTTCTTACTAGAAGTAGGAAGGACATACTCTCAAGAATAAAGACAGTCCTTTGAAACTTAATAAATCTAGCTTTATGAAAAACTTGCCGCATTGTGTGTGGGTGTTTTTTTTCCGGGGGGGGCATACCCGGTAAACTTTTTTCCTGACCCTCCATAGACAAGCTTTTTTTTTTAGACAAACATTTTTTGAAACTCCATTAAGGCTGCCACCCTGGAGCCCCTAGGGGCCTGAGTTTGGGATGTTTTCCATAATGTTTCCTGAGCTTGCAGGATGCTGCAACACTTAGAAATAGTGCCAGACCAAGTGACTGGAGAGATGCTTGTGTTCTGGAGTTTGGAACTCATTGTCATTCTATGCATACTCTCCTGGCTCCTCCCCAAACCTCTACCCCTCTTTCTTTCTTTTTCTTTTCTTTCTTTCTTTCTTTCTTTTTTTTTTTTTTTAAGATTTAACTTATTTGACAGAGAGAGACACAGCAAGAGAGGGAACACAAGCAGGGGGAGTGGGAGAGGGAGAGGCAAGCTTCCCGTGGAGCAGGGAGCCCGATGCAGGGCTCGATCCCAGGATCTTGGGATCATGACCCGAGCTGAAGGCAGATGCTTAAGAACTGAGCCACCCAGGCGCCCCTCTACCCCTCTTTCTACAGAGTCCTACTGCCTTCCCATTCAGTTTCTTATGTTGGACCAATTTCCTTCAGTTTCCTTAAGACTCAAGGTGGGCGAGAGGTATAGGCCCAATGTGCGGAAGCCATCATCTGAGTTCTGAGTGGTTACTTCTTGTCTGGCCAGGCCATCATTCTCTCATTCTTGCCTCATAGTGTCCAAGTGACCTTAGACAATTGCTAAGCAGAACCACCATCCCCTCCTCCCTTTTTCCATCACCATGCTCCTTCCCTTGGCCTAGAGCCTCAACTCCTGCAGTCTAACTCTCTGTTGGCCAGCAGAGGCCTGTGATGTGGAGAAAAATCAATTTGGCCCGCTTCTAGGTGGTTCTGCCCAGGGGCTGCAGCAGGAGTCTGACCTGAGGGGAGGAAGGACAAAGAATCTCTAAGGCTTGGCTTTTTTTTTTTTTTTTTTTTTTTTTTGTTAGGGAAGGGGGAGAAACAAAGCAAGCCCGGAGAAAGGGGCTGGGGTGTTGGGACTCTGTCCAATGGTAACTTGGACAGGAAACACTTACATAGGTGCTGAAACCTGTCTGAAACCTAAATGCAGATGTCTGCCCTATTGGTTCTCTCTCAAAGCCCCTGTGGCCTTCCCCATTCCCATCATTACTTCCCCTTCACTGTTTTCTGACTCCCTTTCTCTTGCAAAAGCTTCTCCTGCCCACCTGCATCCCAGCCCCAACCTATGAGGCAAAAATGAGAATTTTATCCGTTTCTGAATTCTGATAGCCCAGAATCAGAGTTTGCCTTCCTTCACATTGGGGACCTGGTGTGTATACTGGGGAGAGAGCGCACCTTTGGACGTAGAAGCGGAAGGGACTAGCCTCTCCCCTGACACTGCTGTCTGAAAAATGGAACCTGGACACCCACCCCCACAGGGGTACCGGCAGCCGCCCTTGAAAGCTGAGTGGGTTGGGAATCTGTGTGAGGGGGTTGGGGATGGGGAATGAGAAGGGTGCTCTCAGTTTGGAGAGGATGGTGACAGGGGCGGGGCGGGGGTGGGGGAGGAGGGTGTCCCGGAATAAAAGGGGTGGAACCGGCGTCGACTCTCTTCCCTACCCCGGCGACAGGCCCACCTCAGCCCTCTTATCCCTTCCAGAGGGGTGGAGTCCGAGGGAGGGACAGGCAGGCCGGGGAGGTGGGGCGGTGGGATGCGGCAAGGGACTTGGGTGGGGAAGGGGTGAGGGCGAGGTTACCTAAGAGCGTCAGGGGTGGGGTAGGAGGCGAGAGGAACGGAAAGGTGCCCCCTCGCGTGGACGTCCAGCCGGAGGCCCCCCGCGAGGGAAGCCCCGCCCGCCCCGCGGCCGCCGCCCCGCCCAGGCCCGCAGCGCGGCGCTGCAGCGCGAGGGGCGGAGAGGCAGAGCGCCGGGAGAGGACCAGACGCCCAGGTCGCCCGCATCCCCGTGCCGCAGGAGCGAGCAAGCGCGCCCCGGCCCTGCTCTCCAGCCTTCGCCCGGGCGCCCCACCTGCTTTCTCGGCTCCAGAGACCGAGCACCTGTCCTCCGCCTCGGCCGCAGCTGAGCACCCCTCCTCCGGAGCGCACACCGCCCCTGCAGCCCGAGAAGTGCCCAGCCCGTCGCCGGCGACCACCATGGCGGAGACCAACAACGAATGTAGCATCAAGGTGCTCTGCCGATTTCGGCCCCTGAACCAGGCCGAGATTCTGCGGGGAGACAAGTTCATCCCCATTTTCCAAGGGGACGACAGCGTCGTTATTGGGGTGAGTGTCGCCGCGGGAGGGAATTTCGGGGAGGGGTCCGCAAGATGAATCTCCCCCGCCCCCGCCGTCCTCGCCCCTGGCTGTCACTCTGCGCCCCCTCCCCGCCGCTCAGCCTCCATCCTCCCCGCCGCAGCCCCTCCCCTCCCCTGCATCAGGATGGCTGGGTGTGGCCTGGCCAAGCGGGCTGCCAGGTCTCCGCAGAGTGGGAGGGGGCTACTTCCTCGCAGTCAGGGGACCCAACTCCCCTTTGCTGCTCGCTGCAGCGTCCCCACCCCTTAGAGCCAGTCCCGTGTTTTTCTGATGTTTTCCCTCTCCCCTAGGGAAAGCGCATCTTCCCTTTGTTATTGGCTCAGATCTCTACCCTCACCTCCCAGGAAGGGAGGGGGTAGACTGGTGATGGGCTAGATGGGAGGTGGGCAGTCCAGGGTCTCTGCGGGTGGAGTTTATGAATGAGAGTGGGCTCTAAGACCGAGCCCTCCATCAGCCCCTGAAGTAGTTACAGCCTAGACTTGGGCGGAGGGCACAGGGCTGATGAAGGGTTTTCTGAGAAAGAAATACATTGATGCCACACCCAATTTGGGAAGGGGGCTCTGGGGTCCTAAGGAAATGTCTGCCTTTCCCTCCCAGGTACGGTAGGAAGAGGATTTCAGACACCCCAGTTCCCGCTAACAAATAAAAATAACCAGATCCTGAGGTCTTAATAGGTACTTGCTTATTCATCCTTTCTCTTGATGATCCAGTAAAAAGTAGCAAGCTGTTTCTACCTCATCATGACAGCTCTACCCATGGAGGAGATCTTATTAAGAAGGAGAACTAATATTTACTATGGGTTTGTTACTCAACATGTATTATTTACTCCTCAAAACAACACTCTGAAGTAGGTACCAATATTTCCATTTTACAGATGAGGAAATTGAGGCCCAAAGAAGTTGAATGACTTTCTCAAGGTCACCCTGTTAATTCATGGATCTGAACCTAAATCTCTAACTCCAAAGCTCATGGCTTTTCCTCTATATCACACTGCCTCTGCAGATTTCTCTTCTCGACCTTTATCTGTGATGGCCCAAAGGGAATTCCTAGGGAATTCTTCACCCACCCCTCCTTTCCCATGTTGGTAGGGAGTGTTAGGCTGTGGGGTGAAAGGATCTGGGATCGAGTCCTGTAGGGCTTGAGGGGTGCTGGGCCAGGAAACTGTAGCCAATCTGAGAAGGGAGGGGCACATATGACGGCTGTCCTCAAGGTCAGGGGCACTGTTTATGTATCTTTGGTCCACAGTGCTTGGCCCAAGGCATGCTTATTAAACGAATGAAGGAAAGATGGGGAGGGAGCGTGGGCCCTCTGAATCAGTGAGAATGGGACTTTGAGTAAACATGCCTTAGGAAGAGCCTGCTTACATGTCCCATCCCCAGGGGCCCCAGTCTGTCACCATGCTGAGCTCTCACCCACTGAACTCAAATAGGGGCTTCTGCCTTGTGTGTGTGCTTACATATGTGTATGTTTACCACATCGAGAGGGCCCCTGTCTCTCTTGGCCTCAAGGACCTTAGGCCTTACAATCTGGTCAGTGTGGCCAGGCTGAAATAATCGGTCCTGGGGGCTCCTCTCCAAGTAGTCTGGACAACAGGCATTAGCTGTGAGAGTTGGAGCTTGAGGTTTCCCTGAGACATGAAGGCTGAGAAATAGGAGGGAGGTGGTCTTAGGGGTGCACATCCACAAAAGCTTCTACTTTGAAGCCTAGCTTCCTTGGTTTAGTTCTTTCAGGTAAGTCTGAACAAACTCCTTTAGGTTCTCGGGCCATCCTAGTGTGGCAGGCATGTGGCATGGGCTGATGTTGGGAGAAGGAGTGGCTGTATTGATCTGTCGAATTCGCAAAACAGGAAAGACACTGTAGAAGGGGGAGAGAGGCAGAGAGGCCCAGGGCCCCCTGCCAATTCAGATTCTATCTTAGTTCCGCAGCTGGTCCTCCCTTGCCTGTTTTGCCTGATATTTGCAGGGCTGCACCTTTGTCTCACTGTGTATCTTCCTTTGCCCCAGCCCTTCCTGTTAATCTCTCCAGCTGAGATAGATGCTTATGGGGGGCCATTTTGTCTCAGGCAGCGTCCTTGGAGCTTGCCTCCCAGCCTGACTGTTCATTGCTCATTTGGAAGGAGGAGGGCTCTAGGAGAAGGGGTTTGGACGCAACCCTCAAGGGTCCCACCAAGGGAAGGAAATCTCCTACCCCCTCTCCTCTTTCCTCCTCTCACTCCCTTTGGGGCCCAGCGTCTGAGGAATTAGTGGAGGAAGCTGCTTCAGGAAGGTGAGGGAAGGGGGAGACAATAGTCTCTCCAAACCCAGCCCCTGCTCCTTTCTCTGGTGGCTCTCCTCTCTGCCTCTGCGGCACTGCGGCTACCTCAGGGCTTCAGAGTCTCAGATGCTCGTGGGCTTTTTCTGCCTGGCAGAGGGTAGGAGAATAAGCTGGAAAGACAGCTCTTTCAGCCTCATCCCTCCCCCATGCCCCTGACTTCTCCCAGGAATCTGGAGGATGGGGCTTAGCCAAAGTTAATGGCCTGAGTCATAGTAGAAGGGTGTCTGGGTCACTGTCTGTGGGCTGTGTACCTTGTTTTGTTCTTTATGTCACTCAGAATCCAGTGTGACTTTTTCACTGGATACATTTAAGTGTCTCTCGGCCCTGGTCTTGGTGGGCAGAGTGTCCGGGTGCCTGCTGTCAGGGCCGCTGCCTCTATACCAGACATGGGAGGGATGACAGTGAGGGAAGACCCGTACATTCTGTTCCTCTCTCCCTGTTCCTCTCCCTCATTCATTCAGTGTCCATTATATTCTTTCTCCCTCAGATCTCCTAGTGGGTTAGCAGGTTCTTAAGCAGCAAAAATCCAGGACTATCCAGTACCTCATTTGGAAAAGCTAGGTTGGGACCTGCAGGATTACTGGATCAGAGTCAATATTGTTTGGGGTGGCCCAGGATTCCTTTGATATCTGAAGAGGGGGAGCAGGTCTCCCTTTAGCTTTGGGTGAGTCTCATAAAAGAAAATGGAGAGGGGAGGTAATGTTCACCGTGGCCAGTGTCTCTCCAGCATTACCATGGCAACAATCCCCAGGGGTGTCACCATGGAAATCAGGCCTGTGCTCAGAAGTTCAGCCTCTACCAAGTGCTTTACTGAGGGTGGAAAAGGTTGGTCATCTTGGGACCCCTGATCTTAGGCCCTCTCATTAGCTTAGTCAGTTCACATAATGGAAAACTACCAAAAGGTGCTGGGAGACACAAAGCACCCGTTTGAGTTCAGTGGGTGAGAGCTCAGCATGGTGACAGACTGGGGCCCTTAGGGATGGGACATGTAAGCAAGAGACAACAAGGAGGCTTGGGTGGGTTTAGGAAGAACGGAGCCCTGGGCTGCGGGATTCTGAAAGGGAGCTCTCTGGAGGAGGCTGTGAGGGGTGCTTAGATTGCTGTGGCAGGGGCGGGGGGGAATGGATCTCAGGGAGTGTTCCTCAAAGGTGGAGCATTTCCCTGAATGTTGCTAATGAAACCATTCTTCCAGTCTCCAACGCTGGCATGGTGAGGGGGTTCCTGGAAGAGGGTAGGTGGGAGGATCTCATACTTCTGAAGATGGAGTTGAGTTTGGAAAAAGGGAGTGATGCAGGGCTTCAGTTCTGTCTGGAAACATTTGGGGAAATGTCCAAATGGGGGTGGGGGTCATGTGGGGAAGGGGAAGGAAAAGCCATGAAGAGGATCTGATGCCATGTTCAGTATCCAGACGCTTCAGTTCTTGGATGACTATGGCATTATGGGTCTGGATTCAGATTGCTTGGGTTTGAGACCATGTGCTACCATTTCTCAGCTGTGTGTCTGTGGGCAAGCTACCTTACCTCTCTGAACCTCAGTCTCCACATTTATAAAACGGAATAATAATAGTACCTGCTAGGATTGCTGTGAGCATTAAATGAGATAATGCATATACATTGCTTAGAACAGTGCAGGCACGTAATAAACTGATAAGAGTTAGATGTTATTATTTTTTATATATGCTATGTCCCCACAAGCTAGCCTTTGACACACTGGGAAGTAGTTAACCTTTCCCCTTCTTACTAGTTGTTTCATCCCAACGTCCAGGTCTCTAAAATCTTGCTCTCTTCCTCCATCAATATCTGTGTTTTTGACAAATATTTATGAAGGATATCCTGTCGGCCAAGGACTGTGCTTGATGTTGGGGATTTACAGAGAATCCCTGCCTTCAAGAAACTCTTGGTCTACATGGTGATCCAGTCTGTAGAGTGGTCTGGGCAGATGTCTGAGAGGGGGCATCAGAAACGGCTTAAAAAAAAAATCAGTGGCTTTTGCAAACTATACACACTCAGATTCTGGTAAGAAACCTTCCACAGGGGCGCCTGGGTCGCTCAGATGGTTAAGCGTCTGTCTTCGGCTCAGGTCATGATCCCAGGGTTCTGGGATCGAGTCCCGCATCGGGCTCCCTGCTAGGCAGGGAGCCTGCTTCTGCCTCTGCCTCTGCCTCTGCCTCTCTCTCTCTCTCTGACTTTCATGAATAAATAAATAAAACATTAAAAAAAAAGAAAAAGAAACCTTCCACAGCGTACGACAGTCCGACTCAAAGTAATTGTGTGTCATGAGAAATAAAGAAATAGTGGTGATGTTTCCCATGTGAGTAGTCTAGAGGCAGAAAAAAGTAGAAAACCACTGGTCTAGTTATTCTCATCAAAAGATCTGACAAAAAATTTCATCTTGAGTATAATCAATGGAAAATTACAAAGAAATTTATAATTTAACAGAAATAAAAATCTTAAGATAAAATCATAAACTAGACTTGGATTTTAAGGGCCTAGTCTAGAGTAGGGAAGTAGGGAATAGCAGGCCTTTCAAGAACCTCTGAAATTATAATGTGTCTGTGGCTTTCCATGCTCACGAGTTTACTAAGTGAACCCATTTTTAGTTCTTGGATATCTTTTATCGTCACAGTACTGAGAACACCACCCTTTTACTCTCTCTGG